AGCGATTACGGTAGTTGTCGGCTTTCCTCAAGCATGGAAAGTGTTATCGGTGGATTTTTCTTCAAGTATAGAAAACCGCCAAGTCGGCTTTCCTCAAGCAAGGAAAGCGTTATCGGTGGATTTTTCTTCAAGTATAGAAAACCGCCAAGTCGACTTTCCTCAAGCATGGAAATTATTATCGGTGGATTTCTTCAAGCATAGAAAAACGCCAAATTCCTTTGTCGGCTTTCCTTAAGCATGGAAAGCATTATCGGTGGATTTATTTAAGCATAGAATGACACAAAATTCATACTTCAACTTTCCTCAGGCATGGAAAGTATCATCCGGTAGGTTTCTTCAGGCTTAGAAAGCTACCAAATTCCTCAGTCGGCTTTCCTCAGGCATGGAAAGCTTTTCAACGAACGTTATCCGGTGGATTCCTTCAAGCATATGAAGATGCCAAACTCATTTGTCACCGATACACTGGTGCCGGATACGTATTCTATCCTTTTACTCTTTTATCGGTGAAATTAACATTTTTCTGCAAATATCGGCGTATACAGAGTGATTTAGGATTGCAGAACGTCTTAAATCATTCTCCGTCCCTATCGACTACTTTGACTATAGTTTTCGAAACTGACGTTTCTACAAATTCAGTCAAAGTGGGGGCTTCTGTAGACACCTAAAAATGTCTCCCCAAAACCAAACCCGATGATGAACAACCTTTCACCGCCACTATTGGTCGGGTTCAGTATTTAATCCCGAGAGTGCTAAAAAAATCGTATTTAATTAAATTCATATTAGTCTTGATGTTTGGTCAAAGCGTAGTTTTAATTTCAGCCCAAACTTATTTTTAGCCCAAAACCTTTTTTTTAATTTTACTGTTTTATTATTTATTTTGGGCCAAACTTTTTATTTATTTTATTTATTTTAGCCAAAATAATAATTAAATCAGAAAATGGCCCGAAATTATCAATCGACACTTAAAATGCTGAACGAAATTAGGGTTTAAAATGAATTTAGACGGGAAAACGGACTGAAATCTCCCGCGTCACGACAACAGTCCACCGTGTCACGGGAAACTTTCCCGTCTGACGGTGGAGTTTCCCGTGACACGGGACATTTGCTGTGACACGGAGATTTCCGTGTCCTTTCCGCATAAACCCTTAACGCGTTTTCTCCTCCTGTTCACTAAATATTTCCCGCGTCACGCAAATTTGTACCGTGTCACGGGAAAGTTTCCCGTCTGACAGTGGGATTTCCCGTGTCACGGTGCACGCGGGATACTTTTTTATGGTTTTTATCATTTTAGGGTTCTGTGTGTTCCCTCAACACATTTTTTCCATAAATACCCCCTCATTTCTGATGTGCGAGGCATCAATTAATTCTCTAGTTTTTTCTCTCTTCTATGCTCTAGCCTAAACACTAGCCTACCCTTCTTCTTTCAAATTTCCTTCTTCAAGCACTCCAAGGAATCCATATTTTACTCGTGGTTCTGTCCTTAAGCCAAGGCGTGAAAGGTAGAACTGTTTGAGGGTTTGGCCCCAAATCAATTCCATTTAATTAAATTTAATTATTGTTTTATTATTATTTCCTTGAAGTTACTAACTCGTTTATTATTTATTAGTTGCAAACAAACATAATCAAAGTAAGAATTATGTTCCTTTTATTTCTATTATTTTTTCTAACGATTTTGTATTGTTAGAATTATTGTTAAATTGCTTCCAATATTAATGATAATTCTATTATTTATTATGATCACCATATTGCATGTTTAAAGGGAATATGTAATTGAAAATCACGCCTAATAAGATAATTTGGACAACCGGTTTAGGTTCCTTTTTAATCTTGTTGTTTAATCAAGTGATCACAAATATTTTAAAATAATGTGTTGCATTAATATTAAACCAATTTAGCATAATGATATTTTGGAGCAAATTGAATATTTTGTTTGTATGCCTTTGAGATCGCAAGAATGTTTTTCACTATAAGAATCGAGTAGAGGCCAATACGGGCGAATGTGACTCCATGACTCACTTCGTACCATCATCCCTGATCCTCCTTTCGTGGTTCCGAACCATATTGAGTTAGTAATCTCATGGATTATGAATGGGGTGTAACCTTCACGGGTCAATCGTTGTTGCCTATCGTTGTCCCTTTATCGTGGTTGCCTTAAATGATCCGTGAACGGTTTACAAGTTCTTTAAAAACTTGTTGGCGGCTCCCTACTTTCCTTGTCCCTAATCGTATATGTCAATTCCCACTTCCTATGAGTGCCAAGCATATTCATCACATGCTTTAACGTAGGCGCACTTCGAGCGACGCCTATAATACCCTATTTTGAATATTCCAATAATCGAATGGACTCATTATTTAATTCTATACCACAATTAACACTACTAGAATTAACAGTTTTAACGACAAAGTAATAACGATAAAATGAGTTTTTTGTCGTTAATAACCTTAGTAAGTCCCTTTATTACGACATTCTTAGCAGGTGGTCGTACATGGTTGAATGTGAATATAAAAGGTTAAATTAATAACTCTATAAGCGTCGTTAATATGGTAGATGATAAATAAATAAAATAATAATAAGGAAAATTTGCAAATTACCACCCAAAAATAGTATCAATTTCTAAATAACCACCCAAATAAAATTTTATTTTAAATTACCACCCACTAAAATAATTTTTTATGCAGATTACCACCTTTTTCAATTTTCCGTTTGATTTCAGGTGAGTGGGGCCCACCTAACGGCTAGTAACGGCTATTTTCCCCTTCCTAATTGAATTTCTCCCCGATTTTCCCCTATTTAACATTACTCCTACCCTAATTTGCGATTTGTACATCAAAATTTCCCCAAATTCCTCAAATTTCAGGCCCTTGTATTTGCTGTAACATCTTGAAGAATCGTTAGAGGTGAATTCGCATCAGGTAACCTATTACATTCTTTAAATTTACAAGATACTAATGGTGCTGAAATTGGGGAAAACTTGTTGATTAGTTGATTAGGTTTTACTTTCTTTGCTAATTAGGATTATTTTCCAATCGAATTGAGGGAAACTAAGTGTTTAGTTAATTAGGGTTAATGTTGTTTGCCCAATTTAGGTGTTTTGTCATTGAATTTCTGTTAGTACTGGGTAAGTTGTGTTTGCAATGTTTACACTTAATTAAGTACTCTTAGAATTGGTTGAAGCATGTTTTAAGCTGTTATGTTTATTTGTTGTTGGAATTATTATGGCAGAAATGGAAGAGAATAAGGTGGTTCTCAGATTTAAGTATTTGACTATAGTTATTGACCTTGAATATGAGATTGGCAAAAGTAACTTACAAGATACTGCAATAGCATTTGAAGATCAACTTCGTGATATGGATGATCCTATAGAAGGATCAATTGACATTTTGTACCCCATATTCCAGTACTTATATAAAGGAAAGTATTGGACTTTAGAAGATGATGGAGATTTGTTCAAGATGATTAGGAGATTACCTAATCAGGAGTTTTACACCATACATGTTGGAAGCACAGATGAGCCTGGTTTCTTGGCTGACTGTATACTTGAGTACAGGATGAAGCAAAATGGGACTTGGCCACCCCCTGGTTATCCTGATTATGGTGGCCAACCACCACAGTGAATAGGTGTGAGTAAGCAGTGTTGTGTACTTGGTTGGTTGTTGTTATTGTTGATTTAACTGACTTGTTTTATGCTCATTTTAGGTCTGATAATGTCTTGGAATAACACATCTCCCACAAACCAGAAGAAATGCAACTGTGGCTTGCCTTTTGCAAAGTTGACATCATGGACTACTTCTAACCCAGGCAGGAAATTCAAGGCTTGCAAGTTCTATGACCCTAACACTGAAACTAGGGGGTGTAAGTGTTTTGAATGGGTTGATAGTGAAGGGACTAAGTGACAGAGAGAGGTGATTAACCAGTTGGTGCTTGACAAAAAGTTGATGAAGGGTGAAGTGAACACACTCAAAGTTCAGGTTGATGATCTCACTGCCCAAAGAAGATGCTTGCTCAATGAGGTGGATACTCTGACATTGAAATGCAAGGCCCTAAATGGTGACAGGAAGAAGATGCTCCACAGCAATGGTGGTTCTGACAGCAAGCTTTTGGTTATTGTAGTTCTTATGTGTTTAGTGTTATTAGTTTTAGGTAGTGTTGTACTTAATAAGTTGGTTTGAGTGGGAGGTGTGCTGATTAAAATGATGATTTGTGGTGTTATTTGTATGTAGTATGAATGAAACAAGTTATTTTGGTATCAATGAAACAAGTTATTTTGGTATCAATTTTGGCATGAGTTGTTTGTATTTTGGCATCAATGACACAATCACATAATCATTGAAATAAAACAACAAAAAGTATTAACAAAATTCAAAATAATTATCTTGCCAATGCAATCAACAACTAGTCATTCACCAATTCAAAACAGAATCCAAAAGATTGAAACAAAGGCAGTCATCATTGTTCAACTACTTAAAAAAAGACTTAACATTGTTCAAATACTAAGATTGTTTTTAAAAAAAAAAAAAACTTTTCATTGTTCAACTAAGATTGTTTCAAAGTACTCTATTCCCTAGTCATTCTAATAGTGTGCAACTTGCTTCTTGGTGCTTCTGAATCTTGTGCATAGGCTGTGGCAACTGTTGTAGTTGAAGCCTGGCTCTGCTGAGTCTACTGTTGAGTCTGGTGCTCACTTTGATGCTGACTCTGCTGTTGACCACTCTGCTGCTGCTTCTTTCTATGCTCTTCCTGGGGGAACTTCTTCCTGGCTATACTATGTGGTCCAGGTGTACCACTAACAGCACTCTGAAAAAAAAAAAACTTTTAGTGCTAAAAAACTTAAAACCTACACTACAATTAGCATAAATTAACTTTAAATCACCTTTCTTGATGCCCTTTCTGCTTTCATCTTCCTTTGGTCATTCACCCACTCAGTATTCAAATGTGGTCTACCACCTTCTTTCTTAGGGGATGATACAACCACTGGTGTCACTGATGGGTTGTTGCAGGTCTAAGCATAGTGTCCAAGCTGGCCACAATTCTTACATGTTGCCCTTCTCTTGACTGGTTTCTCTTCTTGCTGGCTCTGCCCCACAATTTCTCCCTGTTCTAGCTTTCTTTTCTTACTCTTAGGCCTCCCAGGCTGTACTTTGATGGCTGGTGGTAGTGGCTCCCTTAGCTTCACCTTCTCCCAATGGTTTGGACCAGGCATAGGTGCAACCTCATACCTGTATGCTAACATGTATGTGGACACAAAGTAAGCACTGTCCACATACTCTTCAGGGTCTGCCCTTTTGTCCATGATGCATGCATATGCATGGACACAAGGGATACCAGTTAGCTCCCAATGATAGCAAGTGCAAGTACCTTTGCTTAGGTCCACTTTAACTATGTCAGAATTAAGCTCTACTTCATAAGTGTCACCTCTAGATACTTGTACAATGCAATGCCTAGCTGCTGGTTCTATCCTTTGGAATGCCTTTCTTACATATGGAACTACTTTTCCCTCCATTTTTTTCATAACTTTCCCATTTATCATTGTTTCTTTTCATCATATACCTCCTAAGCCACTCCATCTGAGTCAATATGGGCTTATCCCTAGCTTCTTTGATTACAATATTGAAAGTCTCACAAACATTGTTAAGCAACATGTTTGACTTTGGGAATGAACTAAAAGCATGTCTAGACCAATGCTCAGCTGGGATGTCAGCTAGGTATTCAAATGCATCCTCAGACAAGAACCTTATTGACTCCATTGCCACTTCAAAATCAAACTACAAAAAGGACAAGAACACATTTACAACCACACTTACACACACATCTACATAAACAGATTCAGCTAAACAAACAGCCACACACAGTCACAGAGATTCAGTCACAGTCACAAAGATTCACTCACACTCACAAGACAGTAACAGTTACTCATTCAGTCATTGACTCACACTCACAGACAGTCACTGATTCACTCACACACTCACAGTCACAGACAGTCACAGATAGCCAATTTGAGGTGAATGTATACCTGTGTTGTAGCCCTGGCTGCTGCCTAAAATAGCTCTTTGAATGTTGCTCCACTAAACTACAACTTGAAGTTGGCCCAAATGTGTCTGACACAATACCTTGTGTCTGCATTAGGGACTACCTGCAGGAAAGCTTCTAACAACCCCTGTTTTAAAATCAAAAGTAATGCATTACATAAAAAAGAATGTATGTTAGGTTGAAAAATAATATATTAGTAGTAAGTAATTCATCACCTTTTGTCTGTTTGACATAAAGGTGAACCCAAGCCCTTCATTTTCATCTTTTAAGGACTTCATTAGGCTCTCTAGGAACCACACCCATGTCTCTGTGTTCTTTATTTCACATGTAGCCCATGCAATGGGATAAATATTGTTGTTGCCATCCTTCCCTACTGCAACAAGTATCTGCCCTGGGTATGGACCCTTGAGATGACATCCATCAACCCCTATTAAGGGTCTACAACCAGACAAAAATCCCTTTGCCAAAGGAGCTAGGCAAACAAACATCCTAAGGAATAATGGGGGCTCAGGTTTCTCAATCCCATCAATAACAACATTACATTGTGTCCCAGGGTTATACTTCATGAGAGCCTTTCCATAGTCCCAAACTCTGGCATATTGTTGTGCTGCTGAACCATAGATCATTAGCTTTGCTCTTGCCCTTGACATCCAAGCTTTGCTATAAGTAATTTCTATGTAAGATCAGTTAACACCCTCCTAATGAATCCCTTTAGCTTCCACCCTGGATCACTTCTCCAATCCTCAATGTACTTCTCAGCTAGAAATTCAGCAGTAAGATTGAGATTGCTTTTTACCCTTACACACCTATGCTTAAGATTCACATTCTTAATCTGCCAAAAATCTTGGTTGACAGATCTCCTAGCAACCACCTTAAAATGGCATCTCCTCCCTCCAACACAAGTACACTTAGGCAGCCTACACTTTTTTACATTCCATTTACACTGACATCTCCTCCTGCAGTGGATGGTTAACTTGCTGCTGTCATTGTGCAAGTACCAATATTCATATCTATTCTCAACTGCATGAACCCTCAATGCTCTCCTAAGCAGTTTACTGTTGATAAACTTCTGTCCTTTCACCAAGACTATTGGTTTCTTGAAGTCTGTTGAGGCATGAAACCATGGGTACTTGTCTTCTTCATCATCAGAACACTTAGGGCTATCCAACTCCTCTGAATCAGAACTAAACTCTCTCTGCAAAAAAACTTCTTTGCTCAACAATTCACTTTCAATGATCAACTCCTTGTTCTGCAACTCATCCTCTCTCTTATCTTTCACAAACTCCAAACTTAGGTTGACCTCTTGAATTATGTTCTGAATAGTGTTGTTCACATTTTCTTCAAGTTCAGCATCCTCATCTAACCCCTTCTCTTCCCCTATATCCCAATCAAGGTTAGTGTCATAACAATCAGAGCTGGAGGAGCCAGATCCAGCTTCTGTTTCCAACTCAACCTCCCTCCCTGTCTTCTTCTTCCTCCTACCCTTGGTTGTACCCTTTCCCTTCACTGTATTTCTCCCAGAACTACCTTCCTGTTCCCCTTGCTTCTTCTTCCCTTTAACACTCTCAGAGAACAATATCTTCCTTGATGATTTCTTCCCTGTCACAGTCTCATATGGACCTATCTCTTCAGTCTGATCTACAACCTTATCTGTATTTTCCACATTCAGCTTAAACCTAGGGCTTCTCCTAAGTTCCGTGGGCTTATCAGCTTTGGTTTTTCTGTTTTGGGTGGGTTGTACAATACTGGGTACTTGGCTAGTACAATACACTACAACAAACTCATTCTTTGTCTTTGTCTCCAAAAAGCCCTTTACATCATCTTCACTCAAAATTTCTTTTTTACCATTTGATCAAGTCTTGCCCTTTCGTTTGTACCAAATATTCCATGAGTCTGGCACATGTAAGTCTAGCTTCACAAACCCCCAAATACAAGATTCCCTCAGCAAGTCCACTGACATTTCACTCAATTTACACTTATACCTCCAATATTCCCAGCCACCCTCATAGCCACAGAAAGTCTTCCCCCTTATTTTTTTGTTCACAAACACACCCCCTAACCTAACCTTAACATCAACTAATTGAACAGGACCAGCAATCTGTGCATGTAATAGCAAAATAAGGAGATTTAGGAAAAAATGAAGACTTTTTTAAACCAAACATACATACATAACAGCAATAAACATATACCCTACATCACTGTCCTACCAACATCTATACTTAAACAATTAACCAACAATTAAACAATAGTTGAAATGTATTAAATAATTCAACAAAGTACAAATTAAACCCTAATTTTCAACAAAATTGCAATTCTACCATCACCAACCAACAACTTACAAAATTAAAGACAAGGAACTAAATTGCTAACCTATGACGTCGCCATTGACAGCAAGCAATTGTCAGGTCAATGAACTCAGCACGTGGTCCCCAGCAGACGCCCAACAATGGTGACTTTCGCAAACAACCTTCAAGTTAAACCCCAATTACACAGGAGCAAATTTTTCTCTCAACTTAAACTAATTTAGGGTTTTAATCTACAATTTAGGATCTAAATTTGAAGACCGGGTCAGAATTTATGGAGTTAGGTGAATTTGCAGAGAGAATTGAATGAGAAAATTGAGAGAAGAATAGCTTACAATGTGAACTCGAAAGAAAATAAAAAAATTTAGGAGGGAAATATCGAATGTGGGCCCCACTCACCTGAAATCAAACGGAAAATTGAAAAAGGTGGTAATCTGCATAAAAAATTATTTTAGTGGGTGGTAATTTAAAATAAAATTTTAACTGGGTTGTTATTTAGAAATTGATACTATTTTTGGGTGGTAATTTGCAAATTTTCCTAATAATAAATCATATTTTGTCGCAAGTGCTGAAAAGTGAATTCATCTAACGCGGGATTAGAGCCCGGGCAAAGTAATCATCAAAATATCAAATATTTCTATCAAAAACAAAAGGCACAATTTATTAAAACCTTATTTCCTTTCTTCTTCCCCTAAACCTCACCACCCATTAATATTGTTAGTTTATTCAATAATCATCAAATTTCATTTGCTTGCTTCTAGTAATTTGCTTCAGCCAATTCTTCAAACAATTCTCAAGGGCCATCAACAGATTCTTGCTTGTAGGTGAATTGGGTTTAAGTTGATCAGTAATTAGGGTTCGTCGATTCGTCACAAAATTTCAGTTTGAAAGTCAATTAAAGGGTAAATTTTCTTAATTACTCTATCAAATTTCGACCTTAATTCCTTGCATGTGCTATATAATTTTTAATTTATTCATTTTTCTGTTTAGTTTTATTGTGTATTTTTTGGGTGTTTGTTGAGATAATCAGTTTCCCGTTAGTTTAGCCGATCATCGTTTGTCTCTGTTAAGTTCGATATGTAAATCCCACATGTCAACTCAATACAAAGTTTAATTGTTTCTTGCGTATGTATTAATTTCTTGGTTTTTAGTTTGATTGGTTTTAATTAGTTGATTCCTGTGATATTTGAAAGATTATAGTGTATTATTTAATAGGATTAGTGAAAAGATTATTGAAAAGTCAACTTTAACGTGTGATTGTGTTCATTATGGTGGCTATAAATCAAGTATACAAGGCGTCAATATCTTAGAAGTTCTCAAAAATTGTGGTTATGTGGCTTTATTATGATGAGTTTTAGTACTCTTGTTATTTCCATCTCAAACTATTAGGACTGTTGCTGTGAGGTTATTTTTTTGCTAGCATATGAGCAATGTCCATAGCAGGCTATGTGACTTGGCTCATCTAATGTCATTGGATAATTATTGATTTATGAAATCTAACTTTCACTTAAAAAAACACTTTGAGCAACACATAATTTTAGGATAAGTTAATTGAATTTAATAGAAAAAGATGTAAGTGGAGTAGTCGAAATAATAGAAAATTAAAGGAAAAGATAGTACGAGTTAAATTTTATTAAAACGTAAGGGATATGAGAGAAGAAACAAATAATAAAATAAGTAGTATTGATTTTGAGTGAGGACTAGAAAGGAATAACACTTCAATAACAGCTAAATGCTATTATACTCTTAATATTTATCTAGACAATCTATCTTATTCTACTATCCTTTTTACTTTTCCTTTTTTTTCATTTTAAACACTTGATTAAAGTAGTGGCACGTTTGTATTCCTTTTAATTTTTTTTCCTTTTCATGCATCATTATTTAAATCTTGTATATATGTACTAAGGTAATGTTGTCACATGACTAGTATTGATAGAATTCTTGTGTTGAATTTGCACATTTTATATAGCTAATTTATTCCCTTAATTTTAATAACTTGGTAAATATGACTCCTGATAAAGATTGGATGTCCATTGAAGATTATGTTAATGACCCTTCATATGAAGAAGGAGTAAATAGTTTTTTAGATTATGCTTTTGAAAAGTTAAAAACTGAGACAATTCGATGTCCTTGTTCAAAATGTGTTAATGGAGAATCTGGTGATCAGGAAAAAATTAAACAACATTTATTAGTCTTTGGAATTGTTAAGAGGTATACCTTTTGGTATCATCACGGGGAAGGGTTAAATGAGCCTACTTAATCTGACGGGGATGATGATGTTGAAGAAAATGAAAACGATAATGAGGTGTTCGATATCTTGAGGGATTTATATCCTAATAATCTTGATGATATCGATGGTAGTTCCTCCTCCATTTTTAATGATGTTGAGGAGCCAAATATGGCTACCAAAAAATTTTATAACTTGATGAAGGACTCACAAGACCCTGTCTATGAAGGTTGTAAGAGTTCTAAGATGTCTGCACTATTAAAACTTCTTCATATCAAGACTCTTGGCCGTTGGAGTAATGAGTCATTTACCATGCTTTTGGATTTCTTGAAGAAGGAACTTTTACCGAAAGAATCAAATTTACCAGATTCTTATTATGAGGCAAAGAAGACCATAAAAGATCTCGGGCTTTCTTATGAGAAAATTGATGCATGTGTAAATGATTGCATGTTATATTGGAAGGAGAATGAAAGCTTGGACTCATGCAATATATGTGGTGCATCAAGATGGAAAAGTAACAAAATAATGGGGAAGACAAGTGTAAGAAAAATGGTAAAAAGATACCCCATAAGACACTACGTTACTTCCCACTAAAACCAAGGCTCCAACGATTGTTCATGTGCTCAAAGACTGCATCTTTGATGACATGGCATCATGGTAAAAAGAAGAAAGATGGTACAATGAGACACCCAGTTGATGGATTAGCCTGGGAATCCTTTGACAAAGAGTTTCCGAATTTTGCTTCCGATCCTCGAAATGTTAGATTAGGCCTTGCTAGTGATGGTTTTCAGCCTTTTGCAAATTCAAAGACACCATATAGTATTTGGCCAGTGGTACTTATTCCATATAATTTACCACCTGAACTATGTATGAAACAGTCTTATTTGATATTATCAATGCTCATTCCTGTATTCCTGGTCCTAAAGGACCTGATGATGCATTGACATATATCTGCAACCTCTAATTGAGGAATTGAGGGACCTATGGGACAATGGTGTTGAGACCTTTGATGCATCAGCTCAAAATCATTTTAACCTACGTGCATCATTAATGTGGACTATAAATGATTTTCCAGCATATGCCATGTTATCAGGGTGGAGTACAAAGGGATATTTAGCATGCCCTTGTTGTCAGAAGGATACACGTTCAGAGTGGCTATCTCATGGAGGCAAAGAATGTTATATGGGTCATCGATGCTATTTGCCAATGAATCATAGGTGGAGAAAGGACAAGGATTCATTTGATGGGAAAGTCGAGCGTAGTCTACCTCCAAAACCCTGCTCTATAGATGAAATTCTTCATCAACTTGAGGATCTCGAAAACATTGTATTGTCTAATGATCCACAAGTGAAGAAAAAAATAAAGCACGATCTTAGAGGTGATAATTGGAATAAGAAACGCATTTTCTTTAAGCTTCCTTACTGGAAGGCACAACTATTGCGACACAATTTAGACGTGATGCATATTGAGAAAAATATATGTGATAGCATTCTTGGGACAATTATGAACATTAATGGGAAGACCAAAGACACTTTAAAATCACGTCTTGACTTGAAAGCCATGGGGGTAAGGTCCACACTGCACCCTATAGAAGATGGGGACAAAATTAAACTACCTCCTGCTCCATTTACATTTTCTGTCTCCGAGAAGAAAACTTTCTGCAACTTTTTAAAAGAATTAAAAGTTCCTGATGGTTTTTCATCAAATATATCTTATTGTGTCAACTTAAAGGATTCTAAAATTTCGGGTTTAAAGAGCCATGATTGTCATGTAATACTTGAACATCTTCAACCTTTGGCAATACGTGGTCTACTCACTCCACTTGTACGTGAAGCACTTACTGAGTTGTCGATGTATTTTACTTTTTTATGTGCTAAAGTATTAAATGTGGAGGAGTTGAAGCGATTAGAGTCCCAAATCCCTATTACCCTTTGTAAATTAGAGAAGGTTTTCCCTCCTTCCTTCTTTGATGTGATGATGCATTTACCTATTCATTTAGCTAATGAAGCTAGAATTGGAGGTCCGGTTCAGTTTAGATGGATGTATCATATTGAGCAATATATGTATAAGCTTAAATCTTTTGTAAGAAATAGGGCTCGTCTAGAAGCTTCAATTGCAGAGGGTTATCTTGCAGAAGAGTGCATGACTCTTTGCTTTAGGTATATGGACAGTGTGGAAACAAGATTTAATCGTCTTGAACGAAATTATGAAAATGCAAATTAATGACAAAATAATGATTTTCTTTCTTATAAAGGGGGAAAATAAGGGAAATGAGCCAACTTTAGTTGATGCGTTCTATTCGACCTGAAAGAAAGGCACCGAACTTCCAAATGTCGAGACCACACAAAAACTGGTATGTCCATTAATTGCTTAATGTTATTACCCTGTGTAAACAAGTAACAATTTTTTAATGTTGTGTTTTAGAATGAAATTCGAGAAACAATGGAAAAAGATCCATCTCTTTCCCACGCTGAGGTAACTTTGCTTGTACTATTTTTTTTTATCATTGTGTTATAATTTTCAATTTCAATTAATGCCGTAATTTATTTTTTTTGCTAGAGACTTCTTTTTATATAAATAACTGAAATTGCATGAATGATATAAACCTTTTTTTTTCCTTCAACACATCAAAGTAGTTTATTGTTATTGGAAACTTTAAACAATGCAATCCCAAACTAGTTTATTGTTGCTGGAAACTATATATAGGATAGATAATAAAGAACAAAAATGTAGAGAGTTAAGACAATATTTATCTTAAACCTTGTCTCTTCTAATGTACTAGCTAGCGTATTACCCCTTAATTACCATGTTTTTGTAATGTTTGGATTAGAAACTTGCTTCTTTGTTTCTTTTTAATCTGGATTATCCTAGTTTGTTTTATAGTACTTTTTTACCATACTTCGGGTTCGATATAACTATACCGTGTTTGGACCGAGTTTGCATGGGGGGGTTAAAGGAGGTGGTCTTGTAGGTGTACTAGGAGGGATGCATCTCTGAGGTGGAGGTGCGTATGCAGATTGTGTATGTGAGGAGCGAGGGATGCCTCTCTGAGGTGGAGCTGCGTGGTCTGGCAGGCTGCCTGCGGTGTGCAGATGTGTGCCGCGGCCTGCCTGCGGTGTAGGCTGTCTTGCACGATTAATGGCTAAAAAATGATTAAAAATGGGGGATGGGTCATTGACGCTAAGAAAATAATAATCGGTGGCACGTAATTGACTAATATTTCGATACGGAAGAGTGTTTTCATCGAATGTGACATGTCTAGAGATGATGATTTTATTAGTGGTAATATCTAAACAACGATAACCCCTATGAATCAGGATGTAACTCATAAAACTCAAGATGGAAATCTATGTATATTAATAGGAATATATTTTTTGATGTAAGTCATAACTAATTGTGTAACATACAATATTAAGCACATAAATTTTTGTTCTCTTAACATATATTTTCATATTAATGTATATTTTAAGCTTTTAATGATTATAAAATCTATATCACATGTGCAGGTAGCACAAAAGGTATTTAAATCCAAGTCTCGAGATCGAGTAATAGGCTATGGAGGAGGAATAAAGCTGAAAGATATTCAAGGACCACAACCTAGCAGAGAAGAACTTCAAGTTGAATTGAATGCCTCTAAAAAACAAAACCAAGTTCTTATAAACCGCGTTGAACAAGTACAAGAGGAAAACAATGAATTAAAAGGTTGCATTGGATCAGTTGAGTCTAGAATGAAATTATTTCAGGAAATGTTAGTGACACAGCTTAATGTCACTATACCTTCACAGGATGGATCAGCTTAATCTGGCACATGATGAGTAGCTGCAATATATCATTGAAGATCTAGGATCTCTAATAAATTTTTTATTTTTATTTTTATTTTTGTTTAAAGTTTAAGATATCAGAATTCTTTTTAGATATTCCTTTAAAACATACTATTTTGTCTTGTTATATTGGATGGTACTTGGTTTAAAATACATTAAATCTAATTTAATATTAAGTTATGAATCTTTTGGTTTTCTGTTTTGTACATTTATGTTTATTGTGTTTTTTCCTTATTACCATAATAAGTATCTAGCAGATGAGAACGGGTGGGATAAAGCAAAATAGTTTATTAATTTTGTACGATTTATTTTAACGACGAAATATTTTGTTGTTGTAAGATATCAATTCAAAATTTAGTTACCGTTAGAAAAAATTTTAACTATAAAATTGTTAATCGTAAGTTGGTAATAGTTCGACGCTATTAAATCTACAAATAACGACAAAAAGTCAAATTGTCGTAATTAAGTAACGACGAACTACTATTTCGTCGAATAAATTTAACGACAAACGTAGTCGTTAAAACCAATAACGTCGGAACCTATTACGACAAAAGCACGACGAAATAAGTATTGTAGTGAAAGGTTTTAACGACGACTATTGAGCCTTATTACGACAAATATTTTCGTCGTAAAAACCCCTTTTCCTAGTAGTGTAAATAGCAAACGGAGTGATAAAAATTGCATGAAATTTTAAATTACTCCAAAACCTAAATGGTTCATCTTATGATAAATGGTTTTTTCCAAATGTTGTAAGAGTACCACTATTTATAAAACATCTATAGAAATCACACCCATATCTAATATGCTTGATTTCTTTCATGCAATTGTGAATGTTGTCGTTCACTTACTGCATAGGTTTAATTATAAATACTTTGCTAATCTTAGCATCTTCATTGATGATCACTTTCATAATAAGATGATAAAATTTGAGAGTGTCATGGATTATATGTGATTTAGGATTTATTGTCCAAGTGATGGCTCCCGATCATTTTCATGATTGAGACCTTCAACTTGACAACCTACAATCATTAACGTTCAGCAACGAACTTTCTTGTAAACATCTTCTTTATTATCGCTATTAAGGCAACAATATTCTCAACATATATTTTAGTAGACTTCCTGATGATGCTTTGCTTAGGTTTCACTCCAAACGGCTCACAACGATTTGGGATACCCTAATCACTTGTGATCATGGAAATTTACTTTAAATACCCACACATTACACATGGATCCATATCCATGTTACAATTCTCAAGCCACGACTCATTGCTAGCTCGTGCTTATAAACAACTTCCTTATTAAGGATCTAATCCTTGTTAAGGTTTGTGCTTGCAACATCAATTCTCAAATTGTATTTGTTTCCACAAGTCAAGAACTCATCCTGTTACTTATCCAAGTACTTTGGATGTTCTTGGCCACAATCTAACGATAAATTACATAGATTCAGGTTGATTGGTACTACATACATACTTCACATGATCTAAGCAAGTAAGTTGTGCGACGATTCCATATCACAGCATACATGATGGATTAAATTGCAGAGTAATTCTCAATCTTATTCCATCCATGTGACATTTTAGCTCATTCAGTTTAACTGAGTCTTGCTAAACTGTTTGTTGTGTGATATGGTTGAAAGTCTCTATTAGAGTCTTTCATGTTTGACTTAGTATTTATCCTAGCTTATACTTAGTTCAAACATTTACTTAGTTTTATACATACGGGTCGAAAGTCTTTCAAATTCCTTCAATTCATGTGTTAACACGATAAAATCCTTTACACGTTCAAACAATTTATTAAGTCTATACAATAGTTCTTAATACCAATATGTACCAAGTATCGTCTTTTTCTTGGTCCAAGGTCGAAAATACTTTCAAATCTAACCATTTAGCATTTGATAGTTGTTTCACAATAGAGTTCGTAAACTTCTCGTTGGATCTTTATATAATTTACTTTTTCTCCCACTAAACTTCTTATTCATAAGAATTTCTATGTTTCTCCATAAGTCAATCCTCTTATTAACTTCATGAGAAAAAATATTCCATTTTCTATATGCAATGCTTCCTTAAATCCCATAACGGATTCCTTGAGCTTGCTTTCAAATCTAACATTATTTATATTTTCAAAACCCTTAGGCTATTTTCATAGTCATTTCCAAAATCCTTTTTTAGGAAGGCAATTTTGGTAACTATTTTGCCATATTTCATATGTGCAACTTTGCTAGAACAATCATGAAAAGACTTGAGCATTTCGATTGGTGAGTAGGTTTATATTAAAATCAACTCCGTGAATTTAATTGTATCCTTTTCATCCAATCTAGCTATGTATGCATATACATTTCCACATTTGTTAGTTTTCTCCTTGAAAACTTATTTGCAATCGATGAGTCTTTCACCCTTCATGCAAATTAATCAAGTTTCAAACATGATTTTCAAACATGGGGTCTGTTTCAGATTTTCATGGTCTTACCATTATTCGGAATTTGGATTTGTCGTAGCTATGTTACAAGACATTATTCCTTTACTATCTATTAGTAAATAGTATGCTTGTAAGTCTTAGGTTTATTTCTAATTTAATAGAAATTTATAGGATTCAATCCAAGCCTTTGGTGAATTCTATACCTATACGGGGCAATTGCATCAACCACTGATTTTCAAGGCGCTCCAAAGTCCTTTTATTATGTTGATCTTACTCCAACAATTCTGATGTTTTGTGAGTAATAAGTTCTCCTTTAAGGCACTTGTAAAGTCATTTTGAGTATTCTGATGAAGCATTCTCACGAAGTCCTTTTAAGGTCTTCTAAGATTCTCAGTTCTAGTTTGTTGCTAAGCTTGATGATCATCGAGTTAATTTTCCTCCTACTTGTCATTTTGGAAACGTGTTACTTTCCAAAAAGACACCACTTAGAGCAACAAACACTATGTTCTCAATTAGGTTGTGTAGGTAATGCTCGTGGTCTCACTTGAATGCTTACAAAGAGACATGTATATTGTCTTTGGGTAAAAGTTCGTTGTAAAACACTGATTTTGCCTATACGGGGCAATTGCATCAACCACTGATTTTCAAGGCGCTCCAAAGTCCTTTTATTATGTTGATCTTACTCCAACAATTCTGATATTTTGTGAGTAATAAATTCTCTTTTAAGGCACTTGTAAAGTCCTTTTGAGTATTCTTATGAAAGCATTCTCACGAAGTCCTTTTAAGGTCTTCTTAGATTCTCAGTTCTAGTTTGTTGCTAAGCTCGATGATCATCGAGTTAATTTTCCTCCTACTTGTCATTTTGGAAACGTGTTACTTTCTAGAAAGACACCACTTAGAGCAAAAAACACTATGATCTCAATTAGGTTGTGGAGGTAATGCTCGTGGTCTCACTTGAATGCTTACAAAGAGACATGTATATTGTCTTTGGGTAAAAGTTCGTTGCAAAACAAACAGTTAGCTCCCACTTGAGCTATCTTAACCTTAAATGAGCCATTAAGCTCCCATTCAACCACCTAGCTCTTGCTAATCCAGTGAGCTCCCACTGAGTCACTTAGCTCCCACTGGGCCAATGAACTCCCACTGTGGTTAAGAGTTTTAGATATATGCTTGAAAAGACATTTAGAAGATAATTCTATCCATAACTGAATATGTCGTCCTTTCTTAGCTTTGACATTTTGTTTAGTGTAACATTAGTCCTTCGTGCAAATCTTAAGAACTTTATAGGAAGGGATGTGATCCATCATTGTTCGAGTCATTTTTAAATGGCATCGAGGTCTCCGTGAAGACACACTATGTTCTTTGTGGAGTTATTTATGAAAATTTCAATTTCATAACTTTGTGATGGTCACGCTTGGCTCAAGCTAATATCGCTCTATCTAATCTAGACGTTTTGATATCTTGCCAAGTCGATTATGTACTTCACTGAACTCTTGAACTATTCAAGATCAAGTTTGTTCACATTTGATGGATATAGCCAAATTCTTTCAAATTCTTTGTGAAATGTTGAAGTAAATGAATCATCTTTAGCTTTAGGAGTCAAATGTCTATACCAAGAACAATAGCTCTTTACTTTGTCGATTTCAACAAGTAAGACTTGCTTGTCTTAGAACGATTCCGAATCGATCAACTATTAAGAGTCTATCTAATAGAGCCTTGAGTACGTTCTTGTCGATGTGACATTGCTAAAGATGTTCAGAACGCAAATCATGCCCATGACTTTGAGCTTTTGCTAGTTTATCATGTTAAGAAAATGTTTGTCTATAATCAAGCATTCTTGACTCATGGTTTAGACAACCATGCCATTCAAATAAATTTGCAACTATTGCTCATTGCTTTGAATGTGAGTCTTTCCATGTGTAAACGGATCAATTGTTGATTATGGAACACAATAACCATTTATTTGTTCCAACCTTAGCTTAAAGGTCTTTAAACAAAGTATACAACCTTACAACTGATGTAGTACCACTTGCTTCATTCAAAGCTTGTAAGTCGATAACCTAGCTCAACAGTTTGAGGTCACTTTCAAAGTGGAACACTCAAGAAGTATCCGATACTTTCTGAAGATAATGAGTTGCTAAGTTAACTTCAATAACAAGAATTCTTTAGTAAAATGGAATCTCATTCCTTTTCTTTGTTCCTCGTTTCCTATATTTCTTATCATACTTTATCTCATAATCTTTAAGAACCATTTCTTTAAGAGACTTTGACTTTTATACTTTGTTAGGAATAATTAAGCATCTAATGCGCCGTAAAACAAAGTTCCATCTTTTCCTTTAATTCATGCTCAAATTAATACATTAATGAGTCCTACTCATCTATGTATTAACCAAAAAGATATGTTGGTTGTCAATATTGACAATTTTGAGTTTGCAACTCAATACTTCATGTTTTATCAAAACTGCCTAGTATTTTGAATACATGATGTCCAACCGTCCTTAAAAGTCATTTATGAGAATTGTATTTTAAAATGCTTTACTTTTCTTTGCGAACCATTTTCAAAGATTTCCTTTACCAATCATGGAAAACAATAAAATTTGATTTGGAATTCTACATATATAAGTGCAAAGTATAACCATTTATCAAGTAAATAACATAATAAGTTTGAAAATTAAAAGGTATTCATGCAAATTTTCAATCTTATTAAACGTCTTATCCACGCATTAAATTTGTCCCCATTTGGCGAGAATAAGTCGATTCCAAGATCCAAAGAAACAAAGAG